GCAAAAGTATTGTTAAATGTAATTGTTTAATATAATTGATGCTTGACATTTGTGCGTTGCGCGTTGTATGAAATCAAAAGGTGATAAATGAATAATACATTTAATTTCAGTATTAGAACAATATAAGAAAATACTTGAATATACGTAGTGTGACTCATTGACCTAATATGTAAAAATAGTTAGTATCTCAAGCTTGACTGGACGTTTGGGTAAAAGATAAAATTTGATAAATTGAACTATGGTACATTTTTACTGCGGTATCAAGTAAATATTTTTAAAACTATATTGACTTTTAATTCCAAACGGTGAGATTACAACATTTTATTTAATTATTCCTTCGATGAAATTTATTGTGAACTACATTTATAATTACACATATTAATTACCATTATTCTTTTGTATCATGTTTGGAGACAATTTTTCACAACAGTCTGCCTCTAATACGAAGCATTTATCTTTAGGCTCAATGTATTTTGAAACGAATTTAAAAAATAAATCCACGTGTTAAATAAATGTCCTTATGTACGCGTGAGTGAGTGAGTGCGTGCGTGCGTGCGTGCGTGCGCGTGTCTGTGTCTGTCTCTCTCTCTCTCTCTCTCTCTCTCTCTCTCTCTGTGTGTGCGTGCGCGCGCAAGTAGCAATCGATATTGACAAAAAGTTTGTAAAAAAACGCACAAATTTATATCCACCCTAAGCTTTCATCGACGTTACGCTTAGAAATGAATATTGTGAGCTGACGGAAGGGCGATAAATGGATAGCGAAACATATGTTCTGATCTGTCAGAAATACTCGCCCTCGAGTATTGGTCCGTACATCCTGCTGGCTACCTTCCACACTTGGCTTTTCGACGTTGATTTCGGACGAAATAAAAAGAAACGATGGGAAGTGTACATGCAAAATAATTCGAGTCCGTCTGAAATTTGCAGTGGCAAACTTTGATAGAAACAGCGGAATGCACAGTTTATCATTTTATTCATACATACCTGCAATATGAATAGAAAGGAAGAAGAAACGCAGCATGAAATCTGTATTTAGTATAGAATAGAAACACACACACACACACACACACACACACACACATATATATATATATATATATATATATGTATGTAAACATGCAAATAATTTTAAAATATAATAAATTAATAATTATTATCAATCATGTATGTAAGACAGGTTAATTTACTAGAAAGGATTGAATTGTAACAGGTACATATTATTATTATTGCAACAATGCACAATTAGTTTCGCCGTACCAAAATATTGTAAATTATTAATCTTGGAATGAATAATTAAGAATATTACATTTTTCCTGAGCAAGATAATATAGTATATTTTAGAAAATGGTTGTCAAATAGTCTAATTATTATTTTCAAAATATAAAACATCGGAAGCGATGATGAAGCAAAAAAATTATCTAAATATTTTAAATAATAATAATCCGTATTAATTATTCAATTATATTTGAAGAGCTGTAAGAAATAACTCCTACGAGATGAGGGATGATTATTTATGTCAGAATAATATTTAGAATTAATTTTTTTTAATAGCTTGATTTATATTACATTAAGGCGAATAAATTTCAAAATCTTGTCTCTCTCTCTCTCTCTCTCTCCCCCTCTCTCTCTCTCTCTCTCTCTCTCTCTCTCTTTCTATTTAAAAATAAAATTTTTATAATTCCTAGCGGTAACAATTAATAAAAAGAATACAAATAAATTTCGTGACAATATAAATAATGAAATAAATAAATCTTTACGTTGGGATTCACTATCTTGGCGCCATCTGGCAATGAACAACCTTATATATAGTAATTTATAATCAAGTTATGCAGTTTTGAAAACTAAATCTAGTTGATTGTTGGCGTGTACTGTTAGCCATAACTGTAGTAAAATTAAATTGTAGCAATCGTAAAGAATAGTAATCAAATAATTATTTCTTTAAAATAACTTCATAATGAATTTCGTGATTAATAAATTAGGATGTAAGTGATGTACAGTTAGTAAAATTTTTAATATTTAAAAGAAAAATTTTTAACCACAAATGTAATAAAAATCTGTAATCAAATAGTCTAAAATTTATTCTAATAGCTACGAACTACGAAGAATTTTAATCTACCGACTTCCACAGTAAAAATAATCTATCATTAAATAATGTACGTTCATAGTATATACAAGTTTTTTCATTTAATATGACAATATTTCCGAAAGGAATCAAAATTTCGTCTGAATATGTTGCATGTAATGATTATTATTATTGTTTTTATTATTCATCAAAGTTACAGTACATAAATGAAAGAAGTTTTTATGTACAAAAAAAATTCAAACTGCTCTGTTTTTATATTTTAAATATTACTTGAAATTGTGAATATTTGATAGAATAGATTTAATAATTTTTTAATCAATAATTATATATGATATCGATTCATTATTAAAATTACTTGGATCGTATAATTCGAAATTGCAATGGTAAAGGTATAATAAACAGAAACGATTAGAAAGTAGCGATAGTAGTGGAATAATAATTCTTTCATTCTATAAACATCAAAATATTTTTTAAAAAATTGGTCGTTATTACTATTATATAAATTATTTATACATTAGTAAGGTAGTTAACGTAAAGTATCAGAAAAGTATTTAACATGATGTATAAATTATTTATCAGTATAATATATAGACTGATGATTTAAAAAGACAACAATGATATTCAAAAACATATATATATAAATATATTTTAATGCATTTTTTAAAAGTAATTTTCCACTAATTCATCGAGCGAATATTTATAGTAAAATTTAAATAACAGCAGTGTATTTGTTGTACATTTAAAAATGAAGTACCGAGGATAATAACTATTTTTCAAATATAATTATTATATTTTTATTATATTTTTCATAGAAACATTACTGTATTATGAAATTACGATATGAGTATGAAATAGCAGAAATTTGTTAAGCACGCACTTGCATATATTCCCGTTAGATGTCCCGAGATTATTATATAATAATTGGGCTAAGCAAAATTTGAATATTGAATAGTCATTACTTTGATAATGTGATGTTAACGATTGAATTAAGTTGATTGAAATTATAGCTTATTTAATACTATAAATATTTAAATCATTAATAACATTTGCATAAATCTTGTAAGCGCAACCAGAAGCCGAATTGAATTAGTTTTTTCGTTTTATCATTTTTTCAATTTAAATATTTTTTTTGTTTGCTTTATTAAAAATATATATGTTTTTATTAAAATGTATTTATCGTAAAATGCAAAAACTTAGTATTTATAATTTTAGGTGCATTTATAGAAAAGTAGGTAAATTTACACACAAATTTGATCCGCAAATACCTTTATTACATTTAGTTCCCTTATTATTATCGGATATCAGTACTTTGTAAATTGCATTTTATCATGCATCGAGAGGATGAAGGAATAGAGAATATATTAATACGATCGTACTAAATTGACACTTAAAAGGTTAATTGGATATTGACTCGCTAAGATAAAAGACTTGCATAGAAATAGTGACATTTCTGCTGCTATACAAATATTTATTTGAATAATAGAAAATAATTCTTCGAGTAAAATGTATATATATATATATATTATATTATTTATATTTGTTTATTAAACATACTAATATAATAGTTTCAAATGTATATAGCGACGAAATGTTTAAATATTGCATAGTGTAAATATGTAATTTATGCATGTAAAAAATGTAAATGCACATGTACAAACACATGCACACAAAATAAAAGTTAATTAAAAAAATAATTCCGTTTCAAATAAACTAAATTACCTTAGCACTTTTAAATATAAAAATAAAATGCTACGTTTATGAGCAATTTTAATCATTAAATAAATAATATTGAACCTATTTCAATTTGAAATATATCTACATTCACGTATCTAAAAAGCTATAATAATTTGCATAAAGCATATGTTATATATTATTGATTCTACAATTGAGAGATTATTCTAAAAGACGAAAATTGCATATACGTGTAAATTGATTAAATATTTTTATATTAACAATTCGCGATCGAGTAAGGTATGTGTCAATCAAGTTGTCGTTACCTACTGAAAAGTACACATAATGATAATGAGAAATGGCAAACTTTTTTGCAATACGAATGCAGAAAGCATTTAATGGAAGATAAAGTTTGACTGAGAGTTCTGAACTTTTAATGAATTTCCTTCTTCAAAATTATTAAACGATGATCAAAGTGAGCAATCTATTTGTGTAGACTTCCCGTTCTTCTTTCGAATTTTCATATATATAATAGTTACGCGAGAAGTGAAAAGTATTTGTGCATGATCAGGATAGATGAGCCATTTCTTATATTCAACATTTACATAATATGCATGTTGGACAAACAGCCACAGTAGTATAGAATGCTTTCACCTTAAAATCATATTTTACAAAAATAATTAGAGTAGATTACATTAAGCACTTAAAGTATATTGCATAATTCAGGTACGTACGTGTGCATTAGCGCTCACTCGTCTTAATTTACACCGTACATGGTTACACATAGAGGTTTTTTTTTCTTTTTTTTTTTTTATAATTTTTGAACTTTACATTATTATACATAATTATATAAATTTATGCAAAAATGTTGTTAAATTAAACAGCTGTGTGTATAAAATGTCATTGAAGGTATCTAACAAAAAACTTACATTTCTGCAGTCAATGAGAACTATTTCATTTATCATAAATATAAATAAATATAACAATTTCCTTCAAATTTCCATACCATGCCGTAGCATACCTGATTTTGTTAAACAGTTTAATATCAAGTATATTTTGTATAAATATTTAACTTACTTTCAAAATTTTATTTCAAATAGATTGAAAACTTTCCCGTTATTTCAACATTCTAGTAAATAATCCGTAGCTCCGAATGTAGCACAGATAAATTTAAATATGTGATCAAGCATACATTTAAAATTTTCAATATACTTCATTATATTAAAAATAAATTTTACCATTACAGCGTCACTACAGCTTGCTATTAAGAAAGTCAACATCCCTGAGGGGGTAAAAGTTGGAGAAGAGTACGTTATTCTCGATTGTGATTACGATCTTGGAAACACGTCGACCAAAGGCCTCGTAGTCAAATGGTATTTGAACAATTTCGATCTAGTATATCAATGGATTTATGGTTCGGCACCGCAGGCTATAGATCCTGCATCGAAATATATCGATCTCCATTATAAAGCTAGTCACGATCCTAATACCATGTATCGAGCTATGAAGCTGAAACAGCCAGATATCGATCTTAGTGGAAACTACACATGCCTCATTTCTACATTCGAAGACGAAACTTCCGCCAAACGTCCGATGACAGTTTATTGTGAGTAAAAATTGTAATATCATTTAATTTCAATCGCTGATAATTGCCTTGCTTGCAGTCGCGCGCGCACTACACAAATGCGCACACAATCTTATGAATATACGACTAGGAAAAACTACCTTAAAATGAAAAAAATATATTATATCTTTGTGAAAAGTTTAATTTATTTAGTTATATTGGTAGACTTAATTGTTACTCGATTGTTTTATCGACAGTTGTATAATATTTCATGTACTTAATATTTCGTATTAAAATTTAGTTCATCTTAAGCTTTTAAGTGATAATGAAAGTATAGTAGCAGATGTAAACTTAATGTGATAAATATGGCAGTTAATAAAAAACTATTAGAAGAAACTGTTTATTAAGCTAAACATATTTTACAAAGAAAATACAAATTTTGGAAAATTAAGTTATTTTGTTATAATTCTATAGTTATAAAATTGAAGGTTTAATATGTATTGAGTCGGTTAATTTTCTACTAAAATATATATTTTCAATAATATCATTATGAACATTGTAAATAAGTTCAAAATTACATATTTTTGTGACGCTGACTCTTCTTCTAGAAGTGTAGTTTAGATGTTTTCAATTATTAAAAATAACAACTATATTTATAATTAAACTAAAGTATTTATAAATCTCATTTACACACGATCAGACATATGCACAAAGAGAGAGAGAGATAGATAGATAGAGAGAGAGAGAGAGAGAGAGAGAGAGAGAGAGAGAGAAACTTATAAGCGTTATATATATAAAAGATATTATCCAGTAAAAAATGCGAGGAAGCTGAAATTTGAAAATACAATCTATGATGGCTCTTCCAAAAATAATTTCCATTCAATTTATTGGTCCCCTTTTAACTTTTTTAATACTTCTGGTAACTTTAATTAGACTGAGAATACTATTTATTAAAATGTTTAAAGAATTTAATCTAGAACTCAGTGAAATATCACTATAATAATTTAATGTAAGAAAATATTTTTTCACTCTGTTATTGGTTATGAATGTACCGACACGCTAAATATGATGATAGTTCAACTATTCTTGATTTGTCCGCTTTATTGTTTTTTTTTTCACATGATGTTTAATAATTTCAAAATATAATCCTTTATCCATTATGAAAATTTAATAATATTTTCTTTTAATATTCTTATTCTTCTTTTTATATACTTTTCTATTATAATAAAAATATACCAAGGATATTCTAAGAATTGTATAAGTCAATATGAATTTTCATTTAAAGATATACGTTCGACTAATATTCATCTAAGGTATACGACATAATAAAAATGATATTTCTAATTAATAAATAATAAAATATCTCACTGGCACATTAATGTAGCTAACAATATATAATAATAACGGTAATAATAAAGTGAATCGCCAAATAAAAAACGATGTATTATTAAATTTGAGTGCATATGTTGAGTTTGGCCCTATTCTCGTTCATTAAAACAAACATCAAGCCAAGGAAAATAAAATAATTATGTGCGTCAATGTACAGGCAGTTAAAACTACAGTCAGTAAATAATATTAGTAACTGCGTGTATTTTGTAATACCCGTATTATTTATTTCTTAATGAGGCGATAACAATGGGGTGTCAAAAATTTGCGGTCTAAGGCTTTAGGATTGTAAAGTACAAGCTTTTAAATATAATTACTCTTCATTAACAAATTCAAGTGAATGAAATCGAGTAAAAAATGTTTAAATAATAAAGATATACTTAAATGAGATATTTCATTTTTTGTGTTGAGTGTAACGTACATTTTTCATTTACATTCTTAATTCATGTACTTGTTTCTTTACTTTTTTAAAATGTTTTCGAATGAAATTTAAGAAGAATAAGTATTAATAACATTTAAATTCATTAAGTTTTCTACATTTTCTTTTACTTTTACTGTATTTTATTTACTCAACTGTAGTTTTCATAATTTGCAAATTATTTAATACATGTGTCCTATAATATTATTAACCTTAAAATTTAGTTTAATTTACTAATTTTCTTGTACTTTTTTTAAAAAATTAAAATAAAAATTTAATATACCACATTAGATTGTTATATTCAATAAAAGTAAATGATCGTTCAACGTTATCTTCAATTTTTTAAGACATTAACGTTAATTAATGGATAATAGTTCATTTAAGTTTTGTTCTATTAAATTGTAAATTTTATAAAAACTGAGTTACAGATCTTAGTTTTAATAGACAATATCGTATAAAAATTAATTATTCTTATGTTTATATAAACTTATATTAAAAATATTTTTAACAATAAAAATAGGATATTGAATCCTGTTTTTTTCTTAAAAATCCTTATCAATACACGTGGCAAATAGTACGAATATTATATGAAAATACGGGAAACTCGCGAGTTATAATGCATAATACGATAACGTATAATTATACGAAATCAAGAAAAATATTTATTTTTATTAATTTTTGTCATTATCGAATGCCTATTATATATTGTAATATTCTAATATTCTAAGATTCAAATCATTATGAGGAGGAATAATGTGGAAAAGTATGGGTATATGAAAAATTAAATTTTATATAGTCACCATGAATTTTAATCGTATAACTTCTAATTACATATAACGAAAATTTAAGTAATCGATTACAAATTAAACATTTTTAATAAATTCACTAATAATGACTAACTTATTAATTTTTAAAAATCGATTATTCTATAAATCTTATAATAATTTATATATTGGATGGTATAGTTAGAAGCATTAGATGTGTGTATTTTATTGATACAATATTTCTGGATTAAAATAATTTTTCATATTTAGTTGCATCGTGTTGTAGAATAAATTACAAATTCACAATATCAGTACTGTGTAATTTATTAATTTAGACCGATAATCATATCATGTACTGTATGTGGATGTTATCAACGTTCCACTTTACGTGTTTTATCTTGTAAAGTGTAGTGATATGCCTGGAATGTTCTTGAGAATGGATGGAATAAAACCGTTGACATCGCTGAACAAAAAGGTAGAGAAAAGATTAATTAGTCGAAGAAAATGGAGAAGTAGAGAACAAGCGGATAAATCCTCGGAAGCTCACTGAAAGACTTTTTGCCTTTCCATTTTCCAATACGCGGACACCCACGCGACAAGCTGGAAATTGGCGATAACGGCAGCGGCTTCAGTCTAAAATCTACTTCCCTCTCTCTCGTTCTCTTTTCCTATATTTTTAATTTCCTTCATTTTATTTCTCTCGCTTTACGTATAGTTTAATTAAATAAATTTTTGAGCAATCCTTTGCACTTACCGAGCAATTTATACTTGGTAACTAAATGTATGTAACATTGAAAATTTATGTATTCATCTATAACTTTAAACGAACATGAAATATTAATTATCAAATTGGCGATATTCAGATTATTTGACGAGCAATTTGAATTTCAGTTAAAATCAAATCTAATAGACGATATTATTTATTCGAAATGTAAAGTATTTATCTCTTTATGTATCTGTATCCGATTAAAAATGAGCCTGACAATGTATAGAATTCATTGAGATAAAATTTTTTGACATACAAATGCAGACTTAAACATTCAACAAAAAAACCTGGACATTTAAATATAAATAGAATAAAAAATATAAATTAAATACAAAAATAAGTTACAATATAATATTAATCGCCATGGATACAAATTCTATCAAATATTCTTCTATTTTATGACAGTTAATAGAGTACAACAAAAATGCACCTTCAAAGAAATTTGCAATATCTAGTTAAGGAAATTCTTACAATGATATTACGTTATTTATTACGTACTGTAATATAAATATATATGTGTACATTAATATAAATTTTCATATGTATTTTAATATTTGCTTGTTAAATAAATGTCTGAAGAAATTTAATACTCATTTTATACCGTTTATATTTTGAATAAAAATTATGATTTTTAATATATAATCATTTATTGTCTTTAAATAGCAAAAAATATTTCAAATATTTCATTAACCAAATCATTTAATAAAAAAATATATAAAGCAATTTTTAAGAGAACTTAGAATATATTACAATTTTATTACTTATACATACATTAGAAGTTAAGTATATAATTATGTTTTATTGTATGAAACCAAATTATTTGATTTCAATTTAAATGATAATCATTCATAGGAAGTATTTTACCTCAAAGCTTTCATATGCTTTTTCTTTTTAATTTTTTATGAAAGATGTAATTGTAAGCTTTTATTATGAATTATATATCCATTTGTAATTAGGTTGTAATGTTATTTAACCACGAGAAAATTAATTCTAAAAGATTTCTACCGTTTTTTTTACAAGGTAACATAAGAAATCAATCATTCTCAGACATACATATTTCATTTAAGTAATCTGAATTATATTTTTAATGAGATGGGTTATTCAAGAAATATCATTAAATCCAGAATTTTGAGAGCGAGGATCTACAAATAATGTTCTACTATTACTAGTGAACTTATTTCATGTAATTTCGTTTATAACACCTAAAAACACAAAAATGATTAATTATGGTAAAATAGATTGGCCGCTCTTCAATAATATTAAATATTTGAATATTGATATTTTACTATTACAAAGTTTAGATATTTTTAAAGCTTTTAAGAAATCAATGAAATATTAAATCGATCAATTAAATTCAAATAGAATTAAAATATATTTAATCATATTAATGAATCGGAATCGAATAAACTTAAATACATTTACTAATTTTTAAGAATTTTTAACTATATTTATAATATATATATATATATATATATATATATATATATATATATATATATGTTTATACTTTATACTATATCGATAAAAAGGCAAGATGATAAAAAAATCTACAGTCTTCCTATACAAGGTAGATTAGATTCATAGTTTTATTTGAAATATTAAGCTTTTAAATCAATGAAAAATGATTTTGCGCTAAACTGCGAGAAAATTAAAAGACAAAACTTTATTTAAGACTTTATTTAGCTGATGATATTTACTCGGAGTAAATAATGTATTCTATTTTAATAATATTACTTTTAACTATTTTGTATCAGTTTAATGTTAAATAATATAAATCCAATATTTGTCTCTTTTAGACAATTTCTAAATAATAGTGGGCCTTTTTATTTATGGATATTAAAAATGCAAATGTAAAATATATAAATGTATACGATTAGCTGCGACAATAAATATATATATATATATATATATATATATATATATATATTCATTTATTTCATCGTTCTTATATTTTACATTTATGGATTGGATAACATATTGGATATAAATAAAAAAAATACAAAGGATAGCGTAAGCAACAAAAATTATAATACAACAATATGAGCTCGACATGTTCTTCATTTATTCAAATAAAAGCGTCGATAGTGTAACCATCAAAAAGACGGTCCATGAAAATATTTGGGCTAATGGTCCACACTTTCAAAATATAAGCTCTGCTTTAACTTTTCTTTTCTTATTTCGCTCTATTTCTTTCATTCTCCAAAGTGTTCCAGATAAGTAGATGATTAAAAATCTTAAAGGACAGCATTTTTCGTGATAAATGAATTCATTCTGTTCAAAAGTGCAGTAATGATGACAATGACAAGGACAACGTCAACAGTCAAGTTTATGGAAGTGATGCTATAGAATAGTTTTCGCAATATCCTTTCTTCATAAATGATCAAAATAGTGTGTAGGTGTTTGTTTATATAAAAGCATATATATATATATATATATATGCATTCTTGTTTATATGTGGCAAAGAGATAATAGTAGAAAGAGAGGAATAGGATGAAGGAGAATGAAAGATAGATGAAGAAAAAAAAAGAGACAAAGAGAGAAAGGGAGGGAGAGCTTTGAAAGAAAATGTAGCTTTCATCGTACGAGCGCTGACTTTAAATTGTTCAATTTTAGCGTGGTTGAGGAGACTGAATCGAGTTTTTCAGATTTACAAAAAATCACTTACCCATAGTATTTTAGATAAAACTTCGCTCAGCAACTATTTGGTGAAAAGTTTCTCTTATGTGCCAACACATAATAAAATCCATATAAAATCCTGTGAATATGCATAGTTTTGATCGAACGTGGAATGTGTGCGTTGGAAGTAAAAATTTGCTAGATGTCTCGTAGAAATAAGTAAACTTAACATTGAATATATTAATTTATAAACGAAGAATATGCTTCTATGTGCCATTTAATGTACAAATATATAATAATCGTCAAATCATTACTTGTCTTTTGGAATTCAAGAAATAATAATAATAATCATTATCGCCATCATCATTCTCATTATCGATTATCTCCATCGTATTCATCGAATAAATCGTAATAGATATTACGACATGTATTACGATTGATTAAATAATTTTTATTATGAAATCATTGGACTGATAAATGATGAGCAGTGATCGATAATTATTTTATAATTATCCGCCAATAAAAATCACCACATAACATTAATGTCAAGCTTGCTCGTACGTCGCAAATTAATGAAATTTTAATATATTACTTACCCGCGAAGAAAGCTTCTAATAATTGATTGATTGATTGGAATCTTATTTCATTTTTATTTCTATACATATTAGGATTTCCCTACGTTATCCTTTTCACATCTGATTAAACATATGAAATTACTATTAAATTATTTTTAAATTATGATAATGTAAAAAATAATTATATTTATTTATTACACTTTAACATCTCATATTTTATTTTATTACAGCGACAGGACGAGAAGATGAATTCAAATTGTGGCATACAAAAAAGATTATCTCTGATATAGATGAAAGTATAGAAGTAACGTGTCAAGCTGTCGGTCTCTACCCTAAACCCACCCTTGATATAATCATTGAGTAAGTGAAGAATATAATATGATATACAATGATAAAACGAGAGAGATCGTTTATTAAATTTTTTCTATGTCAACACGCATGAAGGAAATCTTAAATATTTAAATATAAATCCAAGTTCATTATAATTTAGCTTATATCTCTATAAAACTGATTAATATATTACTTGTTCAATGTACCGAGTAATCAACATAACAAAACACTTTATAAATATTAAGACATTTATTTTTATATGGCAAATTATATAACGACATAATGATATAATGATAAATTTTTTTAAAGAGCGTATAGTTAAAAATTTTGATGGTGTGTTTTAAATGAAAATCTTCATTAATATTTATCAAAAATAATACCAGAAATATATAATCAATTAAAGGTTTTAAATATATTGCGTATTCCAAATAATTATATGATTAACAACTGACGTATTTAAAAAAATGTTTTATTATAAAACAAAATTAATAATATATACAATTATTGAATTCAATTATAAATTATAATTCAATTTTTTCCATTCATTTTCTTATAAAATTCTAAATTTAAAAATTTTAAAACTTTATTTTCTTATGAATTCAGTAACAACGATGTTACGGAGATATATCGACAGTCAAACATTATTTTTTGAAAGTTTGACAAAATATTAAAATGAAAAACTATACTTTTTTCAAAGTCATTATTTTAAAAGTAGAAAAATGAAACTTTTGAAACAGCATAGGAGGAAAATAACGAATGACAGTACATACATCTCAATTTGTAAATTGTATTTAGGTAAGACGAGTTCGAAGAATCTGTAATAAATAACAAACGTGATTCGTTATTTTGAAATAAAATTATAATTTTTATCATACTAACAGCTATCAATTTTTCTTGCCTTTATCTTGTCTTTATCTTGTCCTTTATCTCTGAAGTAATGACTCTTTAAATTGCATCTTTTTATTACAATAATCAATTTTACGTAGCACATTGAAAGGTAAAAGATAATAAAAAAGTAAGATATTAAGGAAAATTTTCGCATTTTGAGATGTGATTGCATTGCGTTTCAAGTGTTTGCATTATTAAAAACTTTATATTTATACCAACTGAAGAATCATTTTTAAATATTAGTCTTGAGATATTAATCTAAAAATAAGCCTTTACAATTCTCAATTTTATGAGTTAAATAACTATTTGTGTATAAAAATATATATATGAATAATAAAATTTTACCTGTTCTATACTTTAAAATTTATATTAATGAATATTAACATAGTGAAAGTTTTCTATAAATGAAATTTACAATAATGAATAATAATGAAAATAATTATGTTGCTACTATTTAGTGTAATTCATTAATCAATAATTAATAATAATAAATCGAAATTTTTAAAATTTTATTTTCAATTTATAGAATTATAAGCATTGCATTCAATTATATTTTATACTTAATAAATTAGTACATAATGAAAAATATTTTGATATAGGATTAAAATTACATTATAAGATCTGTCTTAATGTAAGACATATCTACGACCTACGAAACAAATTCATCGACAATTTTTAAAATCGAAAATACAATTAATGAATAATTCTTGTTTGATAATTTTCTTAAAAATTTTCAAATCTACCAAACTAGTTGAAAATATGTGCATACTTTCACGTGAAAGAATTATTCAAACTAATTTTCCAGAATTGTTCAATAAATGCTAGAAATTTTATTTTATTTAAATAAATATATAATGAAAATTATATTAAAATTTCATCATTAATAATGCCTCAGTAGCGTTAAGTATTACAAAAAATATGTATATGTATGATAATTATTACGTTATATAGAAAATATAATTTTGTTTTATAATAAATATTTATATTTTATTTGAAAAATTAATAATTAATTGAAACGATTTCTTGTATCAACTGAGCAATGTACACCACATAATTTGCAATAAAATATAATAAACAAATTTAATTTTTTTCATACAATGTTAATTTAAAACACGTAGTTTCTTTTGTATTTTTTTAATAATTTTCCGTTCGATTTAATAAATATTACTTACAATTCATTATTAAATTTTGAGAGACATTGTTTTATGAATATTTATAATTGCATATAATAATTTTGTTAAAATAAAATAATATTAATATTTATTTCAATTATCTTATATTAACTGCTGAATGCTGAATAATATTATTAATCCTTTAGAACAATCAATTTCCTTTTTTTTTTTTTTTTTTTTTTTTAATTTAACATATTTTTACATAATCTTTTCAAATGTTTATTATTCAATAGTACTCAAATAATAAATGTATTTTTTTAAATTATCATTTATAATCGGTAATGAGATCATCATTGAACGTTCTAAACAATTAATGGAAAAACAGCGAAACTTAATTAATTATATTATGCAGATTATAACTATAAACATTATAATAATTTTAAACTACATTATTCTATTTTCAGAGATTATTCAGACTTTAAATCACCAAGACCAATAATTACGGAAACAGAGGATGGACATTATAATATTGTTACGTACCTCACCCTTGACAATGATGACCTTCCAGATTCAGTTGTTATTAATTGTATTTTAGGAATTCCAAATGTAAATTACAATGCAACAAAAAAACTGGTTCATTATACAGCAGGTAAGTGAATAAATAAATGAATTCTCTACTAAACATTGTATTTGCGAATATTGACAAAATTAGGAACTTTTAAAGTTTTAGGTATTTTAAGCAATTTATAAATAAATATTCATCGGAACTACATTTTTCAGTCGACTACATTCATTATCATGTCAAACTATGCATGCATGTTTTTATGAAAATATTATTTTGAAATTTTTATTATACGTGTTTGCTTGTTGATTAAATAAAATTGACCAAATCAGTTTTGGAGATTGAATTGTAAAACTAATTCAATCGATGATGCAATACTCGAACCGCTCAAAGCAGCTCTTACTAATTAAAAATGAATTTATAACTTTTAAATATCGATGCTCTTAACAATATGTTTGAATTTCTTTTGTATTTTTCTAAAAGTTAACTAATAAGAAAATTAATTATTGCAAATTTTTGTCTCACTACTATTAAATAGGTCAAATTTATTTTATATAACTATCCATAAGTCGAATACAATTGCGATTAATTTTTATTCATATACAAGCTACGATTGTCATATTTTCGTAGCCGCTGTTTCTTTAAAAAGGCCGACAAATTTGCTAAATATTTAGTACAAAAATACTCCATTAAACTCTATAAATTTTTATTATTATTTAGCTAAAGTAATAAACTTTTATGCATATTAATATATAAAATCTTTATAATTAAATAAGAATAAACATCTAAAATATTTTCAATATAAAAATAATCAAAAATAATTTTAAACTAGCATTGAATAGAATAAAAATTCAGTTAAATATTATTTTGAACTAGAATTTGAACTTTTTTGCATTGAAAATACAATTTTATTTATGAATTTTATAAAAACTTTATAAAAGCTTTATAAAGCAAGAAAAATGTATTGCTATTAATTTAAAATCAGTATCTTGAATTTGAGAAGATTAAAATATGTATAGAAATACAGAATATTAATGACACAATTAACTTAATTAACCAACTAAAATAAATTCTATTATAATTTTTTTTACTTCGAATATTATTTTATGTCAACATGCTCTATACAACCTCAATTGGAATAGTTCATATTTTTCGGATTGACAAAAATCCGAAATTATTTTACAGTTTATATTATTAGATAAATTCGTAATTAAAGTAGATGGAGTATTATAAGGTACTAATATCTTCTTTAAATGACGTCTATCACCAATTTCTGTACTGTATTTTTTTTTCATTTTTTTTTTTATTATTTTTTTTTTTTTATCGTTTCATAGACTCTAGTGACAGAGGAAATTTGTATTATAATTTTTTTAATAACTTGATAATTAATTATGAATATAAACGGATTGTCTCAATCCCCAATTAATTTTTTTATGGTATTATGACAAACTACGTAGCAATAACGTTACTTTAATTTCCTTCAATATATGTCATGTATGGACATCTTTATGACATCACATTATATCCTTTGTAGAGGTTGAGTGTGTTGTGTGCTTACTTGATGGACGCGGTATGTGGTATTTATTGTGCAGGAAGGCCTACTACTCTCACTGCAATTGCCATTGGTGGCACAACGAAGCTGCTACGAAAAATGGAGATCCAGGCATTAGATATTTCACAAGCTGACGCTAGCAATGGTAGTGGTAAGATTTCATAATCAAGCAAGTCCGTCTTTATTATTGTATTTCTTTTACTATACTTTGCAAACTTTTGATTGTCTATACACCTTCTTTGCATGTAGTCGGAGAATGTAAATGCACATTTCCTAACAAATTTCGTTAATCCTGATGTAGTTTTATACTAGTGTACTATATATATATATATATATATATATATATACATAATACCTGCTTCATTGCGGATAATAGATACTTCAATTAATAAATCATAATGAAGCGATTATTGTTGTGTCTTGTAAATTAATATTTCCTCAATTTACTCTGAATATTCAGAATTATGTTAGATATAAGCTCAGTGGAATATATTTTTAAATACAATGTTTAATCTAAATTTAAATTTAATTTAAAAATAATTTAAATCAACATATAAATGAAGTGTATAACATAACAATTTTTTAAAAGTCTATTACAATATTTCAATCTTTGTAAAATATCAGTATAAATTATTATTTTTATAATATATAATATATTAAAATTATTGTAGTAGTTATGATCAAATAATTAATAATAAAGTTATTTAATTATTTGAAAAATTTATGTAATTATTTCAATTTTTTTCATATTTCTGTCATATTAAAAGCTCATTGTGTTGCATTAATTAATTATTATATTCTTTCTAATAAATGTTTCAAACCGGTGGTATACTTATTTCTAAGTAAAAGGTTCCGTCGTGACTTTTCGAATTAAAATTAAAAAAGGAACGAATGTAAAAAAAAGAAGAAAAAAAAGAAAAAAAAAAGAAAAAAAAAGAACAAACGTATTCAAGGAAGTGAGACAATGAACAAATGGTTAAAACTGCAAGTACAATGTAAGGAATTTCAATTGCCAAAGTTGTTCTTTTAGAATGGCATTGCTCTTTTTCCATAAACGGTTTTAACATTTCAATGTTCCACGAGTCGATGTTAACAGAAGAATGTAGGAGAAAGACAAAAGTTTGAGAAGTTCGACAAAAGCGTATACGTAAAGTACACCGACGCATCATCTTGTTATATTAATCTTGTTATATTAATATATTATGAATACCGAAGGTTATATATATATTGCATGAAAATGGGATAGTCGATTGTTCATTATAGTTGCTATTCTAAAATATACGTACTTTCAACATTAAGGAAACCGTATGGTTTAAAATTATAAAAAATAAAATTTTACATTATCATTGTAGAAAAGAGTCTAGTTACAAAAACTTAATTATATATATATATATATATATATATATATATATATATATATGTTCGCAAAGTAAATTAATTAATTAAATTTAATAGATGTAATTTATAGATGTCTTTTAAGTTTGAGCATTGATTAATTTTCATAACGATTTTAAATTTTTAAATTTAAAAAAATTTCATTTAGTAAGCTTAGTAAATGTTTAGTTAAATGGGAGAAAATTAAACATTAAAATAATATATTATTGTTTTAACATAATTCTTGATAATTTATATAATTTTAAATTCAGAGATTTAATTGAAAAATGTTAATATACACCTAATTATATAAATTTTACATGTAAATAATGCAATTATTATTTTCCAAAATGAATTTGTATTGCATGTAATTGGGCGAATGAATTTTCATACTAATAATATAAAATACTTACTGCCAACATTTTCCCAGCTGCATTAAAATGTCTAATATAATATTTTTTTTTAATATTAAAATATTTGCCTCCACGAAATGCTTTGAATAAAATTTAACTGACACCACCACCTGAAGGTAGATAATAGCTGATTTATACTTATATAACGATAATGAAAAACTAACTAATAATAATCCTCTGTTACCAACACGTTTTCTTATTTAACGTATTTAACGATATAAATTTAATATTTTTTATTTCATATCATTCATGCTCATATCATGTAAAATTTTCTAGTTATACGAAGTCTATGATATATTATCATTTACTTAAATCTAACATTAAGGCAACGAAGACTATTGTTTTCAGGTAAGTCATTTTTCAAAGGTTAGATGAAGTAGGTTGAGTTATATTTCTATATTATTTATGCATTGGCAATTTATAAACATTAGCATTTATTGTAAACTGAGATATATAAAGAAAAATAAAATTTGTATTGACATTTTCATATTTTGCACTCTTCTACATTCAGTAGGTAACCTATAATTGAATCGATAATAAAGCGATCGTTAAAAGTTCAGAGTTATTACATAAAATATTTTATGCATCTTAGGTAGAAAAATATTTCACAATTTGAGAATTATTTTATAATTAAATAAAATATATATATAAAAAAATGTGATGAAATTTAATTTATGATAAAGATATTTATCATAGTTTCGAATCACTTGTCAATCTCAGGATAATAAGTTTTATAAAAATAAAATTTTCTACCGAAATAATTAATAATTAACATTTATAAATAATAATGAATATTTTTATAATATAAATTATGGTTAGGAAATAATATCTAATCAGCAACTATTGTCCCACGAATACCAAAATCTTTATTATATATGATTTTATAGTTAGTGGTGTTAGTTGCATTGATTTAACAAAAATAAATGGAAAAATTTGAAAATCATTATGATTTTATATTGATCATTATTATTATTATTATTATTATTATTGAAAATTATAAGAATATTTACTTTGATAATGCGTAAGCCGTTGATAATTATTTAAGAGCTCCGAGTCCGAGTATCAATGCTTGAATGAGTGAAAAGCAATTGTTATTTTCAATATGTATTGACTGCATTGATCTTACTGTAATTACTTATAACTTTGCGGTGATCCAATTAAGATAAGTATGCTAATTAAATTGGAGCGATGATCGTTAAAAACGGCAGTCTCTCAACTTCACAAGGCATAAGAAGAGGGCCGCGTTATAGTAGAGTTGCGTATTTGGTAATGGTTCTTGAATTCTTGTTGGTCGGTGTCTGCTTTTATCTTCAGTCGAAGTAGGGAATATAAAGTAAGTGCTATTCGAATCTCTATTGAACGTTGAATATTAAAATCATCAACCGTAGGTTTGAAGAGGTGCCACTGCTTCGCTTCTTTTGCACAAAATTAAGCTTGATTTCCCTTTTGATACGAATAATATTGCGAATAAAATAAACACGTCGAGAGGAACTTTCATATTTCAAATTCAATGCCTTTAAATAAAATTTTAATTGCGTTTTATTTCGTAGGGATATTTAATTAATATTTAATTTAACGATTTTTGCGTAGGTACATTGAAAAAAAATTTGCTTGAATTAATTAAATTGTTGTATATTTGTAATTAAAAATCTTTAATCATATTTTAATTGTACTCTTTCTTTCTTTATCCTTTTTCTTTCTTTCATTCTTTCTTAGTTTATGTTTGCTTGCTTTTTCTTTTTATTGTACATTGAAATACCGTTTTCAGACATTTATAATGTAATTAAATTTAAATGAAATTATCTATAGCAGAAAGTAATTGAGTGGTTATAAAAATTATATATAAATTGTATGAAAAATTAAAGGCTAATATAATCATTGTTGTTAAATTAATGAATTAAGTTTATTATAAAATGCATATTATTATGGAAAGATAATTTCCAAAAGCTATTATAAGTATAAAAATATAAGTTTATTTTACTGCTGAAAAATGAATGGGCAATAATTGTAATTTTAACTTACTTACCAATGCGACTTGTGTCATCAAACAAAATGAAATAGAAATGCCACGGCAAAATATGTAACTCTGATAGTTATTTATTTTTACTCGATGATACAATCGATAAATATTATATAATTATTCTACATTAGATAATTATTCTCATTTACCAATATTGAAAATTAATGAATATTGATAAAATATATTTTTGGTATTTTCTTTTAACAGATCTAATGCCTAATGTTTCCGTACTGTACTGTTTCCCTAAATCGATTAATGACCAAAATTTCCAAGCGATTGATTAAAATGACTAATATTAGTTATGTAAGTTCGGTAAAACATGTAAACGGTTAAATCACTTTAACTAATTTATATTAAATATCACTTTGACAATTTTCTATTATAAATAACAATAAGGTAAGCTAACGAATCGTTTATTATGATGAATAATATTCAAATCATTTAGAATATTATAAATTCACAAAATACTTTTAATAAACTAATGTTATTTGGTATATCATAGGAATCACGAATTCACGAATTCCTCGAAAGTAACATTAAAATATATTACGAACGCAATTATGTATCAATTGATTAATGTCTGATGATAAATGTATTTTATGTATTTGGAAAGTAAGGAGATGCTGATTAATCCCTCCAAATTCAATATTTTAATTTTAGACAATATTTTAAAGATCTAAATTTATTTGTTAGGCTATTCTCTAGCTTTCTATCTCCATATCTATTGATGCATACTGCACTTTTTCATGCGGTTTGTCTGCATATGCGTTTGCCTGACAATTTATCGGACACGTTTAATGTTCGACAATTAATTAAACGATATAAATACACACGTGATAATTTACTTTAGTAAACACGTGAATTTGCTTCTTTTTTCTTTTTTTTTTTTTTTATAATTACTTTTACTTATTAGTGTTTGACGTAAAGCAGATATCTTAAAAATAAAAAAATTGGAGTAAATATTGGCTTAAAATTCATCGACTATAATTATCTTCGCAATGAAAATTCTTTTGTAAATATCTTGCTCTGTAAATTTGTCTGATTATTTCACCTTTAAATATTTCTCAACGCTTAATAATTGAAATCTATTTAAAATCAGGCATATTCAATTGAAAATTCAAATTTTTTTAAACGCAAAAATGTCTATGTAATAAAAAGAGCGTAGAATTAAAAAAGAAAAAGAAAATGTTTTTCTATTTTACTTTATGAAATCCAATGAACATGTATGAGCAAAGAGCAAAAAGGATGACCTGATTTATATCATCGCGTTATCAAAGTTATAAAATATCTCGCATAACGCATTCGTGCTCGTGGCCATCCTATGATTCACGGATTGTACGGCAG